AGGGCCTTGTCTTGTCCGCTGTAACTTCAGTGGACTCAACGCTGATGCAGATAAACTACTGGTGATCCCATTCAGCTCCCGAGTCCGCAGGGGAACTCACTTGCTGACTGACACATTCTGCGGCTGCGGGGTGGACGGGAGATCGTCCACCCCGGTCCTCTGCAGACTCCTGCCTACTGCCTCACCTCCCACAGACCCTGCAGAAGACGGTGGGGCCATGCTGGGACTCTGGTGACGGAACGGCACCCTGGTGCCCGGAGGCCAGCCCAGTCGGGTCAGGGTCTCTGTGGACACTCGGGATGGGGCCTCACTCCACTGTATCCGTATTTGGGGGAATACTTAGCCTTGCCCCGACGTGTCCGGGCTCCCTCCTGGCCCGGCCCTATGGATCTGCCCTGACGTTCGCCTCCTCCCTCGGGACTGGAGGCAACTGAGAATCGCGGTCTGTCCCTTACCCATCACACCAGCTCAAGGTCCAGCACCCAGGATGCACTTGACAAATGCTCACTACATACATACTGCACAGGACCAGGTGGCGAAGCTGCTGCTGCTCTGGCTCGGGTCCACCGTGCTGCCTCGGAGGCAGCGCATCCCTGAACCTCAGCTAGGCCCTCCCGGTTAAGTGCGGGAAAGAAACTGTGCCCGCATGCCAACTTACTGCCAGATGGCCAGGCAGCGCAATTAGCCTCAGTATCCACCACCAGGTCCACCCCGGGGCAGGACCATCAGGAGATCGGCGCCCTGAACCAGCCCAGCCTCCTCCCAGTTCTCACTCAGCTGAGGGCCGGCCCTGCGGTCAGTGTAATAATTCTCAATGAGGCCGAGGGGAGCGACTTCTCACTGAGCATCAGCCTGGGGCTTGCTTCCTAAAATACACGGCGAGCACAATCCGGGTCAACGTCAGCCAGGCCCTGCATTTGCCGACAGGACGCTGTGTCCCAGGAGCTGGTCAGCGGCCTGGATATAGGGTTCCATGTAGTGCACGACTTTCTGTGCTGAGCTCCCAGAAGTCGCCGACAGAATGAGGAAAGAGCGGCGGCGGGTGACGACAGATTGTTTTGTTCTGCTCCGGCCTCATTTCATTAATCAGAAGTTAAGTAAGAGGGCAGTATAAGAATCATTATAAAAAAATTCACGGCAGCTAATATCTTTAAAAATGTATAGATGAAGAGGCTACTAGAGAAAAATAAAGTCCCTAAACATCATGAGTAGGACAAAACTCAGTTTGCTTTTAAAAGTGGAAAAGCATCCTTTCTTCAGTATGAATGTGGGGTCGCTGCTTTGCTTAAATGAACTCTCTGGTTAAGCTGTTTGATGCCCCACAAACCCCAGGAAGGATCTGTGGATGGTGGTGGGGATCCGTGACATCGAACAATTCCAATATGTCTTTCATTGCAAGATTTGAAGAGGCTCAGAAATTCTGAGTCAGGGTAGTCTTTGAGGCACCACCTGGAGGGGGCAGTGGGAAGGGGCAGCACCACCTCGCCTGCTCTGTACCTGTCCAGGAAACGAGCTGAGCCACACTCTGGTGGGAAGCGGTGACCCCCTGCTGTCATTCACCAGTAAAGGGGCAGGGCTCCCAACAGGAAGTAGGAGCCGGGCCCTGGGCCTCAGGCAGGGCAGTGGGACTCCCAGATCAGGGAGGTGGGTGCTCAGATGGTGAGGATGAGCCAAGAGCTAGGAGACGAGCCCTGAAACCCCAGCAGCACAAGGCACACCTTGCTGGCCAGATGCCTGCCTGTAAATGTTACTGTTTATTTCCGTGTGGCCTTCCCGAAGGGGCGTTTAGCAGCTGGTTCCCTCCTCTTGCCGGCTGAATTGTGGGCACTGAGGGGAGGGTCTAGGGGGTGCTAACTGGCAGGAATGGGTCATTGGCAAAACTGAGGGAGGCACAGAGTTGTTCAAGGGTTTCCCTCAAATCACAGGCAGCAGGTGAAGAAGCTGGGTGTGGATGCCAGTAGCACCCGCGGGCTAGGAGGCGTAAACGCTGGAAGATGCAAATGCTCAAACGAGTGGATGTGCTTTTCTCATGAGGCAGAACAGGTGTGAATGTCACCCAGGGAGGCCACCAAGCACGTGCCACAAATGCAGGACATGTTGAAGAACAGCAAGAGCGTGGCTGTGCATTTTTTCTGTTTACATATCATGTAACTGCCTTTAAAGAGCCAGAAGTGGGCAACTGTGCAAGGTCAACATAAAGTAGGGTAAACTCGAAACCATGGAATTATTTAAGTGCATGTCACATTTATGAAAGGTTGTCATTTTAATTCATTCAGGCATTTTCTAACTAAAACTTCATTTAATGAAGTCTTTCATATTATCGATTCTTTAAGAAATGCACAAACGTAAATTATTTAGAATTAGCGACGTCAAGGGTTTGAGAGTGGACACTTCTCGGGTGACGCAGGACACCTAACTACACTCATTCCCTTAAGTAGTTTAAACGTTTCCCCTGAAATCCTTATATTATTAATATTATTAATGTGCTAGCGATGCCTTTTTAAAAAATTGATAATGCAATCAAGCCTTAATTAAGCTCTCCTGGAGCACTGTGAATTCTCACTAGCTCTTCCCCAGCGTGGAGAGGAGATGCTCCTCGGCTCTCAGGGAAGCAGGGCTGGGGCGCTGCTGTACCACGAGGTTCGAGGCAGACAGAGCTGTGCTGCCAGTGGACCTAGAAGCACAAGCCAGCGCAGGAGCCGGCAGCCAGGAAAAGTGGACGAGTGTCAGGGGCCTATGGGACAAAGATCACAGCCACACAGCTCTGACAAGCAGCAGCGGGCTGAGGGCCAGGCAGGAGTCTACTGTCCCACACCCTGAGTCTCCCAGGACTTCCTACAGATGACCCGTGCAAGGTTCTGTGTCTTATAACAGGAGCCGGTCCCCAGGCGGTGCCGACATTGTTGGTTTGAGAGGGGAAGGACCAGAGCAATCACCCGCTGATGGGCCCTCCCAATTCTGTTCTGAGTTGGGGGTGTGGGCACATGCTGGGGAGCTGCTTTGGGGCCAGACGGGGCAGGTGGTGTTCACTGTCCTTTCCTGGGACCTCAGAGGAAGAGTCAGATGTGTTTCCAGAAAAGCAGGGGCCCTTAGTGAGACACAGATGCTCTGCTCGGTGGCCAGGTGCTCGGCCCTCGCCCCCTCCTGCCTCCACTGCTCCAGGACCTTGGGTGCTGCACCCACAGCTGGGAGGACATGGGTGTGCTTAGCCCCACTTTAGTGAGGAGAAAGTGAGGCCAGGAGAACCTAAGGAATCTGTCATGGGGGCACAGAGCTACAAAACAAGAGGAAAGATGTACCCAAGCTGTCCAACCGTGGAGTCCATGGCCTCCATCCACCCACCTGACCACCCTCACGCTCCCAGAGTGGGGCCACCCCCTGTCCTCACTCTGTCCAAGGCCAGGGCACCCGGGCAGGCATGTTCTTTGTCTCCTCGTCCTGGGAGTCTCTCTCTGACCACGGTGCCTGCCGCTCACCGTGAACTCGTTTTGCTGATCTGAGTTTGGTTAATTACAGCACCAGTCTCCAGAAAGGGGGTGTGGAGGGCCGTTGGGAGAGAGGATCCCAGATCCCGACAGATGCCTCTGTCTGTCGAGCTCATGGGCTCTCTCTTGGTGAAACCCAAGAGCATGCTCAGTAGACGGACGAATGAGAAGCACACGCTCACACTGAAGAGAAAAAGACAGAAGCCACGCATTCGCTGTTAGCAATAAGGGGTTACAGTCAAATGAAACCCTACCCACGGTTGCAGGATCCTCCCCTCCTACTTGGAGGGGCTCTGCCAACCCCTCGAACATCATAGTCAAGGCCTTTGAGGTCCAGTGCCAGGGATGTGGCCTTACTGATGGGGTGACTCCATCTCACACACCTGGAATGTTGGTCAAGGCTTATGGAGGCTGAGCAGGAGTCTCCCTCCCTGCGACCTCCAGCTCCTGACTCTGGGTCTGCTCCCTGGCCTGCTGCCCCGAGTCCTCTTTGGGGCACAGCTCCACCTGCCGAGAGGCCCCAAGTCTTCCGTCTTTAGGAAGGAGCAGCATGTGAGCCCCTAGCCACGCCCTCCAATGCCTCATCACTCAGTGAAGGAGCTGCTTTCAAACATTCTGTCCAGAAGCAACCAAAATCCTTTGGATAAAACAAAATTTGTGTTTCCAAAGAAAGAGCTGTGTCACACAGGCCTCATTTCCACTAAGTCGGGCGCCCCAGAATTTCCCACAGTGCCCTGCAGCCGTGGACTCCACCTGCGGCATCTGAGACCAGGGCATTCCCATGCTCTGTAGCCTGCTGCAGCTCAGACCCTCACCTCTCGAGAGCAAAGCCTCCGGAAGGCACTCCTCCTCTGGCCGCTGCCCTTCTGGCCACCCCAAGGCACTGCCCATGGCCACTCTGATCTTTCTGAAAAGCCACTGTCCACTTAAACCATCACCTCTGGAGAAAGTCCAAGAGAGCAGTTTATGTCTAAACATCCTTCTCCTTCTGGATTATGACAGAACTGCTGCACACAACCCTGAGATGTCCCTGCAGGACACAATGCGTTTCTTTCTAATCCAGATTTCCCCCCGCCTGAGACCCTCAGCCACCCCCACTGCCTGGGCTTTGCCCAGAGCCGGCGCTGAGGGCCACGCTGGCTGGCTCGTTCATTTGCTGAAAGACCTCGAGGCCCATGGGCAGGAGCTGCTGTGTCCCCACGGCCACCAGGGGATGCTTGGCTGTGACAAAGTACAGCACGCCACCAAAAGAAGAGTGAGTTTACATGCTGTTTAAAATGAGTTCAAGTTTTAAAAAGTAGGTGTACATGCATGAGGTTCATTGCTTTTGGTATCAACCATAAGGGAATGCTTAAGGATGTCATATTAAATGACGCTCTAAAAAAAAGCAAATATTTCAAGACGAGCAGGGGCGTTCCTCTGAGTGCAGTATGGCAGTGTGGCTCCACACTCAAGGGACATGGGGGTGCCAGTTTCGAGACCCCGCCCCAGCCACGGCAGGCCCCGCACACTGACCTGTTTTTCTGAGAGGGAAGTCGTCTTTGGCGTCATACATTCCCAGGACCGGGTGGTTGTAGGAGGCCGACACCCCACTCTGGGGCGGGGAGCTCTGGTCAAGGGAACTGTGCTGCGTTTTCCTGGAGAAAAGAGGCAAAGAGAGTTGCCTTAGTGAACCCCGGGCACAGCACAGCTATTCAGAAGAAGCGTCCACTGAAGCCCGAGCAGGGGTCCCCACGGATGGTCCCTCCTTTGACACCTTGGCAGACTGGCCTCCTCTCTGGGGCAAGACTGAAAGGAAACAAAAGCCAGCGCTGACCGCAGCCTCTGCCTGACTGGCAGTGCGAGGGATGCGGCCGCGGTCCTGGCGCGTACTCTGCCCTGCCCAGTGCCTCGCAGGCGCCTCCTGCACTGCCTGCTGTCTGGCCACCAGGCTCACCATCGGCCCCGAGGGGCCTGTTCACAGGGCACAGGGGCAGAGGCAGACAGGCAGGCTCCAGGTGTCAGAAGCAAAGGTGTGGTTGGAGGCGGCCGAGGCCTGGTGGGGGCACCTCAGGAATGAGTGCTAGGGACGTCTGGGGTCCCTGAGGGCAGGAGCCACATGGGGACTTCCCTTCAGCAGAAACTACCCAGTCTTCATCTGTGCCTTCACCAGAACAGAATCACCCTGACTCTGTCATTTCCTCTTCCTTGTCGGGGGTTGGGTTGGCACCAACCAGCACCTTCTGCCCTGGGAGGTGATCTCGGACATTGACCTCCTTCAGGAACAGCCAGGCACGACTCAACATCCTTAAAATGGCTCGACAGGAGTCTCAGAGGAGGGAGGGAGGGGCGTGAGATGATGGGGTGCTGGCCGCCCTCAGGATGACCATCAGCAAACTTGCTGTTGGGGAGGCCGCCAGCTGAGTCTTGCCAGAAGCACCGAAGGTGTAATGAATTCTGTGAGTCTTCAAACCGTGTAATGTGCTTAATGACTTGAAACAAATTTGCCAACTTACTTATTTGGAACTTGTTAGACTATTTATTTGAATACACAGTACTCCACATCCACACACCTGGTGTTATTTGAATTAAGGATGTGAGCTCTTAACTGCTGACAGGTGGATATTTAAATATTTGAGAGTAAACTCGTGTGAAGAACGTGCTGATCGTGGAGACCAATGCAGTGGGCACAGCCCGGATGTCTGGGCTGCGGGGACCAGTCCACTGCACACCCTGAGAAGAGCTCAGAGAGCCCTAGAACACAGCCCTGCCTGGCCGCGCCCCCACCACCGCCAAGAGCGCCAACTCCTCCAACAGGACATGCTCTCACCTTCCTGGGCGACTGCCGTGCAGCCGGGGCTGGGAGCTCAGGGCTGGGGCAGGTGCACCCACATGCCAGCTGTGCCCTTGTTGTGGGGTCGCCTCCTCTGGCAGGAAGCCCTCCTTTCAACTTGTCATTCTACCAGGACAACCCTAGGCCTCACCTTGAGGGCCGTTCTCTCACAATCTCATTAAACGACTGAAAGCAACACTCCCTTTACCCAACGACATCTTCAGCTTATATCCTAGGGAATGTGGCTTTGGCCAGCGTAAACTTCTCCTTCAACGTCAGGTCACAACCTGGGAAAGAATTCGCCTTCTCCTTCATAAGAAACACAGAAAGATCTGAGGTGTTTCAAGTGATTTAAAAGTACAAGTTATTATTAATAGGATATTATTGTCAACAATAATACGTATTGCTATTATACTTTAATGGTAGAGTTTATTTATAATTAAGCCAGAAGTTGGAAAAGCTAGATCTGCTTAAGATCTACTGGATTTTCTCTTCTGTTTTGATCTCTTGAGATGCTGTCAGCATTAAAGTCCTCGCTTTCTCGTTTAGCCTTCAAATGAGCCAGAACAGGAGGCAGTAGGCATGGTCTCTGCCTGTGCCACGGCCCTGAGAGCTCTGGGCTAAAGTGCCCGGCATCGTCCCAGGCAGAGAATGCTGGGGGCCAGGAGCCGGCAGCTGCACTGACCCATCACAGGCAAATTCAGAGACTTAGGTCACCACAGCCTGGTTGCCCCGAAACGTGCAAAACTGAGAAAAACCGCTTATCACAGGGGCCCCCAACAAGCTCCGCTAGAGGCTAAGGGCCTCCTGAGGGAAAACGCACCCGCCGGCCCTCTGCTGGGGCCCCCATGCCCACTCACGCCACAGTCGGGGCCAACACCGTGCCCCCAGTCAACAAGGGTCTGGGAGTGTGAGCAAAAGTAACGTCCAACTTGGCTGCACACGCACTTGCACACTCACACCTCCTACGTTCACACACTCTGAAATATATACACACTCACACTGCCCCCAGTCACACGTACACACCCGCCACACCCTTATACCCGGGCAGAGCCTGAAAAGCTGTTCCTTCCATCAACCTCGTCCTGACCAGCAGTGACCCTCCACGGTTCCAACCTGTAACCACCGGCCTGAGGAGGAAGCAGCTGTGCGGCACCCCACGGGGTCTTGGGAGACAAGGGCGCTTTACCATAAAGGCAGTCCTCACTGATGAAGACGGGGGAAGGAGCACCTCTTTGCTCTCTCTAAACACGACTTCGTCATACAAAATAAAGCTCAACTCACATTCAACCATTTAAATTCTATCAACAATTGGCTTTTCCCATGATACCTTATTTATGCAAGTGATTTAAAATAAATAAAACTTGCGGCCAGCCCAGTGGCGTAGTGGTTAAGTTCACACATTCCACTTTGACAGCCCGGGTTCACAGGTTTGGATCCCAAGCTCAGACCTATACACTGCTCATCAAGCCATGCTGTGGCAGCATCCCATACACAAAATAGAGGAACACTGGCACAGATGTCAGCTCAGGGACAATATTCCTCACCAAAAAAAATAAAAATAAAAAATATAATAAATAAAATTCTGGGTTTTTTTTAAGATTGGCCCTGAGCTAACATCTGTTGCCAATCTTCTTCTCCCCAAAGCCCCCCAGTAGGTAGAAGTACATATTCTAGTTGCAGGTCCTTCTAGCTCTGCTACGGCAGACGCCACTTCAACATGACTTGGTGCCAGAGGTCTGCGCCCAGGATCCGAACGGGTGAAGCCCGGGCCACCAAAGCAGATCACACAAACTTAACCACATGGCCATGGGGCCGGTCCCAGTAAATAAAATTCTTAATCGCTTAAACCAGCCCTGTCCAACAGAATTATAATGTGAGCTACGTGTGCAATTTTAAATTTTCTAGTGGCCACGTTAAAATGAATAGAAATAGGTGACATTACCTTTTGTATTCTCTTTAACCCAACATATCCAAAATATTTTCAACATGTAACAATCTAAAAGTTATTAATGAAATATTTCACATTCTTTTTTCCATACTGAGGCCTTGAAATCCGGTGTGTGTGACATTGACAGCACGCCTCGATTCAGAACGGCCACGTTTCAATGCGCAGGAGCCACAAGTGGCATGTGGCTGCACAATGGACAGAACAGTCTAGTACGAGGAGTTTAAAGCGGGAAGCTTCGACACACGTATACACCATGGAGCCAGCACTCCAATAACGACAACAGTGTCGCCCCCACAGAAAGTTCCCTCTGCCCTTTGGCAGGCAATCTTCACCCCCTGCCCAGCCACCGACGGGCTCTGCCTCTACAGACTGGCTGTGCGGACTCGAGAATTGCACAGGAACGGCATCACGAGGCATGACTGGGTCTGGCTCCTCTGTCCAGGCGTCACGTTTCTGAGACCCTCTCAAGTTGTGCAGAGCTTAGCAGCCCACGTGTGTCCTGCTGAGCAGCTGTCGAGGGTGTGGGTGCCCTTGGGGGGTCTCACATTCACCTGTTGGCGGGCGCGGGGCTGCATCCACACTTTGGCAATAACGAATAAAGCCGCTATGACCATAAGAACACAAGGCGTCGTCCGGACAGTTTTCATCCCTCTTAGGTAAAACCCCAAAGGGAGAAAGGCGGGGTCATAGAGTAGGTGTATGTTTACTTTTATAGGACACTGCCAAATGGTTTCCAAAGTGGTCGCGCCCTTTCAATCCTGACGGGCCACATGTGGAAGGCAAGGGGCTCCCCACCTCCACCAACACTTGATTTATTACGTGTCAGCCATCCCAGGGCACGCAAGGTGGCCTCTCACCGTGGCTTTGATCTGCATTTCCCTGATGACTAATGATCTTTTCAGGTACTTACTGGCCATTTGTACATCTTATTTTGTGAAAGATCTGTTCTTTTGTCTCTATTTTTTCAGTAGCTTGCTTGTCTTTTTATTATTGAGTTGTAGGAGCTCTTTATATATTCTGGATACAAGCTCTCCGTCAATATATGCTTTGTGAATATTTTCTTCTGGTCTGTGGCTCACCTTTTTATTTTCTTAATGGTGCCTTTCAAGGAACAGACGTTTTTCATTTTGATGAAGTCTAATTGAGTTTTTGGTTTATAGTTAACGATTTTGGTGTCCTAAGAACTCTTTGTCTGTCTCTCCTCCAAGGTCACGAAAACTCACCCTGTTTTCTTCTACAAGTTCCATTGGTTTAGCTCTTATGTTCAGTCTTCAACATTCGTGCTAACTATCGTGTGTGGTTGTAGCTGGGGTCAAGGTGTGGTTCTTTCCCTGCGAAGACCCCTTTATCTGACAAAGTTTTGCCATGACACAGCCAGAAAATGGGATAGTTCCCTCCATGTTTGGCTTAGGGTGACAAAACAAGGTAGTTGCCCAACTCCACGCAGACAAACCCGGCCCTGCTGACTTCCTCCAGACCAAGCTCTTCCCTCTCCAGCCTGCACGCCCTACCCCACCACACGATGAACCCAGGGCAAGCAAGCCTCGTTGGGTGGGGGGCCTACCTCGGGGCCACCCTGCTCACTAGGGAGTAGCTGTGTCAATTCCTCCTGGGACCCCGGCCAGCTCTGGAGGCAAAGCTTCTTGTCCCGAGGCCCTTCTCCCGCTTTCTGCTCCCAGGCGCTCCCGGTTGACCCTGCTTCCTAAAGCCGCTCCCTCACTTCGACCTCTCAGTACATGCCCGCCGTGCTCCTTCCTCAATTCCCCGTTTCTGCCTGAGACCCCCTTCCCCACAGCCCACTGGACTGAGGGGAGGCATTTTCCCAGCCCACGGGTTCCATCCTCCCCTCACCTACAAAGCCACCATCACAGCCTCTGTCCTGCCAATCTGGTCTCCCAGCCCCACCTTCCTGCCCATTCCTGGGGGAGCCTGGCACTGGCTACCCCAATCTTCCTCCATGTCACTGTGGTCATCATCCAAGAACTCTAATGTGGACACTGCAACTCCTGCTTCCCAGCACCTGACATCTGCTCGGCCGACAGTTTTCTGACCACTGCTCCTGAAGCCCCTCGCCAGCCTCAGCTCCCTCACAGCCGCTCCGCCTCTGGAGGGGTCCCTAGTGCTTCCCGCTGCGGTGATCACGTCTTCCGAACGTTCCATCCCCAGCGGTCCTGGCCTCCCGCCCACTGGCAGATCCATGAGCGCGTCTCCCCGTCCTGCCATCCTTAGAGGTTGTATCCCCAGGTTCCTCCAGTGCCTCCCAAGCCCTGAGCCCCACCCGCCCCACCCGTCCCACCTCAGCTTCCCTTCCTGCTGCTTTCACCTTGAACCTCATGGATGCCATCTCAACCGCTACCCAAACTAATAAACTGTGCTGCATCTACCTGTCCCCTGCGGGTGACAATGGAGCTTTCCTACAACTAAACCCGGTGGCTGTCACCAGTGGGGAGACCATGGATCGGTGCCCCACAAACACGGGGTCTCCAACTGCACTGTCACCCTCGCTTCTAACGAACCCTCCCACGCTCAGGTCGCTCTGCGGCTCGTGGCTGTCATTTGCAGCTCTTCATGGACCGCTGTGGCCTTCACTCCTCTGGGCCAGTTGTGTCACTGGCTGAATTTCCTAATTCATCCACAGCACATTTTGGTGCGAGCGCAGCTTAAGTGCCTGTGCAACGTGTAACAGCTACAAAGGGCTTAAGGGGAGCAGATGATAGGCTTGGAGTAAGAATGCCCTGCTGTCTTATAATAATGTCATCTACTGAAAAAAATGCGGCCACTTCAGTGGGATTTGGTGGTGTTTTAGAAATAGTTGTCTGCTTTGGGGCTTGAGAATGGCTACATTTTTCCTGATGAAATGAATGATAATCACATTTTGATTATGAAAACTACCCTATGGAGGTGCATCAAGAAATGGAATTACCCTTGAAAGCAGCAGAAAACTGTATTTCTCGGCATAAATCTGTGAGTCACCTTTGATCATTATTTAAAGCCACATGATCTCCTTGCCACTCCATTTCAAACTCAGCCTGGGTCATCGGCCAGTGATCTGTGAACCTCGCACAGAACCGTGCACAGGCCTGGAGAGACAATCCCTCTGCACACGAGCATCATTACCCAAGGTGAGTTTTTTACAACACATCTACTTTCTCCAGTTCTCAGCACCAACAGGCTCTTCTGTGGTCTCTGTCAGTTATGCTGGCTCTGGGAGAGGGTTCTTAGCATAAAAATAGTAAGAATACCACCAGTACTTATTGACTTGCCTAAGAATCAGTAAAACACTGGGTAGAAATTCAGTAGGTGCATACAGACAATTTAGACGAGAGGTCCAGTTTAAGTCATTCCTTCTGTGGCCAAAAGAATAGTATGAGAAGCCAGGAATTGTAATGGGCAAGTGCCGACCCCTTGAGCATCACTCAGTCATTCAAAGACGAGCCCACTCCCAACTGGACGAACGCCATGCGCATGGACATCAGAGGCTTTGATCACACTCCTGTTTGCTACTGTGCTTAGGGGGCCTCTAATTCCACACCCTCCCACCTGGGCCTAGAGGGGAAGGACTGGATGCTCAACTCTGTCAATGGATCGCATGCTGCGGGGGCCCCAGAGAGGAGACCACGGTCCCTGCACATCCCCACTTACCCGTACCAGTAGCGGGGGTCGCTGGAAATGCAGTGGTTCAGGTTGCGGTGGGCCAGCGCCTTCTTCTTGTTGAGGACAAACTCTTGTAACTTCATCTTCACTTCCGTGCTGGCCACGGCACCTGGAGTGGGAGGAGGCACAGAGATGGGGGTTGCAGGCTCTGCCCCAGGGAAGCAGCGGGTGGGGGGACACGGAGCTGTGCGCCAGGGAAGGGAGGGGGCCTCTTACTCAGGATGCTGCTGCTGACGCCATGAAAGCTCCTCAAAGGAAGGAGAGGGACAGGGAGAGTTTGAATAAGAGGGCTTCTTCCCAGGAAGACTTTTACATAATTGCATTCTATTTAAAACGCAGGTGTAATCAGCATAAAGACTTATTGTTACCTAACACAAAACCCACTTCTGAAGGAAGTTTTCATATTCTTACATAAAAGGACATTCTGAATTAAGCACCGGCAGCCCGGTGGGTCTCTTCTCACTAGAGCAAAAGAAGCAGAATCTGACATAGGAGGTTTTGTGCAATCTGAGCATCAGCCCAGGACCCAGGACCCAGGACCAGGGACGGGGATGAAGGCTGCTTCCAGGAAGAGCTCACTTTCACGCTCCTGCAGACAAGCCGCCAGTTCACTCCCAACAGACCCAAAGGGAGGTTTCTGTTCTTCCCAGCTGAGCAGCTAGTACTCAGCCAGAGTGTATTCACCACAGTGGACCAAAGTCGAAACTGTGTGTTTTGGGGTTTTCTTGGGGTGGTGGCCATTAGTCACAGCCCCATTAAAGAAAACCGGCAAGTTGGAGAAATAGACCCACACAAATAAAAGGCCAAGCCTGCCCCCTCAGAAGACCTGCTAGCACAGACTCTGTTTCCTCAGAGCCACAATCAGACGACGCAGCACTGTCGTATCCAGGCTTCCGTTCGGAAAGAGCCTAAGTATTCCCCGTATGTCACCATACAGAATGTGCACAGCATTTGTACAGTGAGAAAACACATCACAAGGGGAGCAAAGCAGAGATTACAATCCAGTTTCTGACTGGGAGGCATTTCAGATTATTCCTTAGGTTGTTGATGTTAGAAACCATGTTGCAGAACATTTATGAGTAAATATCATTGTGCATGTTTAAATTATTTCCTTGGGAGAGATTAGTAAAATGACTACATCTAACAAAAGAAACATTATAGCCCTTGCAGCAGCTTCTAAAGTGCTTCCCAAAGTGTATCCACAAACTGACCACCTTGTGCCATGCCATCGGCCACACAATGCAGGTGGGTCCCTGCATCTTTATGAGTACTGAGATTATACATGACCCTGTGTCTTCATCTATCAGTCCTCGGGATCACCCCCGACCCCGTGTCTTCATCTATCGGTCCTCGGGATCACCCCCTGACCCCGTGTCTTCATCTATCGGTCCTCGGGATCACCCCCTGACCCCGTGTCTTCATCTATCGGTCCTCGGGATCACCCCCTGACCCCGTGTCTTCATCTATCGGTCCTCAGGATCACCCCCTGACCCCGTGTCTTCATCTATCGGTCCTCGGGGTCACCCCCTGACCCCCTGTCTTCATCTATCGGTCCTCGGGATCACCCCCTGACCCCGTGTCTTCATCTATCGGTCCTCGGGATCACCCCCTGACCCCGTGTCTTCATCTATCGGTCCTCGGGATCACCCCCTGACCCCGTGTCTTCATCTATCGGTCCTCGGGGTCACCCCCTGACCCCCTGTCTTCATCTATCAGTCGTCAGGATTACCCTCGACCCTGTGTCTTCATCTATCTGTCCTCAGGAGTACCACTTGATCCTCATCTTTATCCATCAGTACTTCAGTGCGTTGTGGACGAGGGTCAGGTAGCAACAAACCCCTTGGGAACAGCTGTGGCGGGACCTGAACAAGATCATCCAGAGAAACACAAAGAAAGTTCTCTAAACTGACTCCAAAGCATGTTGGGAAGGTTCCGTCATAACACACAGCTGTTTCTCAGGTCTTCTTAGGTCCGAGGAAACAACCTCATCATCACTCAAGAAGAGGAGCTCTGCATGTTAGGTAAAGCGTTGCACGCAGTGTACAGCACTGGCAGTGGACAGAGAGGCCTGGACCTGGGCTACAGACCCAGTGATGCTCGATGCTCGGTGCAGAGGGTGCAGGGGAGGGGTGACCGAACCAGGCCATAGGAAGCGGCTGAAGGTACAAAATCCGCTTCCAAGCAACGCTCCTCAGTTCCTCCTAACATATCCAGGACTAGACTTGAATGCCCCCTCTAAATACTGTTAGCCTAATTATCTTTCCTGTCTGTAAGTGGACCCATCAGAACATTACACTCCCAGACACACGGAATCAGCTCACACCCAGATACGCAGTCACTGGGCATTCCTACAACAGCCTGCCGGCTCCAGGTGGACAACTGAGCAAACACACAAAGGGTTAAGCTTATCAGTACACAGAGTGCCTCCCAACCAGGAGGAAGAGGACTTGCAGGGTGGTGGGGAGACGAGGACACAGGGCGCAGGGAGCAATTGCAGCAGGGGAGACGCACATCTGCGAGCAACGTGACTTCGCTGATAAAGACAGGAAGAGTGAAATGAGGATCTGGGATATTTTTCACCTTGCAGGGCTGCTGGCAGTGCAGGGAAGTGGTGAGACTGCATGAAGAGGACGGAGAGGAGGGGGAGGACCCTAATGGCCAGTCAGAGGAGATGACCTTCAGGCCCTTCCAGAACTGTTGTTCCGGAAGGAGAGGGTGATTGGAAGCAGGACTAGAAGCAGAGTGTCAGTGTGCAGGATAAGGACTTCCTCAAAAGTCCCCAGCAAACCGAGGCTGGGTGCTAGTTAGCCTCGACCTTCTCAGGAAAGACCTGTTTCTGTGGCTCCACTCTCCCTCACCTGTTGTCCCCTGCGAGCGCTCTAGGGACACAGCGAGCCGCACGGACCACCTTCAGACGTCTCTGACTGTCCCTGCTTCGGCTGCACCCTCAGGCTCGCATCATGGGCTCCCGAACTCCGAGAAGCGCAAGGAGCACATGCCCTGGCCCAGCAGTGAGGGTATGCACTAAGGCCCAGTGACAGGAAGGGACAGCAAGACGTGGCGAGGGGAAGCTGCCCACCCAGAGGAGACGCTGGCCCCCGAACCTGGCTGGGGCTAGGGTACCTTTGAGGCACCTATCAGGCCAGGACACAGAGGGTACCTTTGTCCCCTAGGCTACCTGGAGAATCCTCACAGGAGGAGGTGCATCTGCAGGGCCAAGGGGTCCCCAGGGTGGCCGTGGACATGTGTGGCCCCTCAACCAGCTCAAGGGTGGGAGAGGGCACCTCACCAGGCTCTTAGAGAGTCAAAGGAAAACGAGCCCAGCTCCCAGAACTCAGACTTCCCCATTTATAAAATGATCTGGAAGGTTCTGTACTGATTTAAATGAACTAAATGAATGCCACAGCGCCCCCCTGACATGTTGGACTAAGGCCACTTGAGAAGAGGGGGCAGACGGTGATGTGCTCACAAGAGCGGACCCTGCCCAGACTTCCCCCAGCTGCCTGCAGGTGGAGGCTGACTGACCGGGTTCTTCCCCACAGGGCGCCGTGGGCAAGACTGGAGTTCACGTCCTCACACAGCCACGTGGGCCTGGCCTGCAGCAAATGCAGTAACGCTCAGCCACAGAGGCGTGACGGTGTAGTGCACAAAGGGAATCTTCTTCGCTCTTTATAAGGAGAGAATTCAAAAAGGAAGATGCTGATTCTGATCTTCATCCTTCTAGTTCTAGACTCATCTCTCAACAGATTTCTCCACTTTAAAAGTTCTAGAATCAGTAAAACACATCCAATAACCGAATACCAAATGTCTCTAATTTTTATTTTTATTTTTAAATTAATTCACATTGATTACCATTCAATTTGACAGGGTTTACAGAACCTGACTAAGTGCCAGGGTTGATCTGGCTGATGGGGATGAAGAAGTGAATCAAAGAGACCAAGCCCCTCACTCACTGTGGGAGCGAGATCTGAGACAGGTGAGGAGGTGAAAACTGGGCAGGGAAGGGAGGAACCAAGAACAGCAGATGCCCCCGGCGGGGGCTGCAGACGGGGTGGGGGGACCTGACCAGATGGGGCGGGGCCGAGGGGCTGCAGATGGGGTGGGGGTACCTGGCCAGGCAGGGTGGGGCCGAGGGGCTGCAGATGGGGTGGGGGGACCTGACCAGATGGGGCGGGGCCGAGGGGCTGCAGACAGGGTGGGGGGACCTGACCAGATGGGGCGGGGCCGAGGGGCTGCAGATGGGGTGGGGGTACCTGGCCAGGCAGGGTGGGGCCGAGGGGCTGCAGATGGGGTGGGGGGACCTGACCAGATGGGGCGGGGCCGAGGGGCTGCAGATGGGGTGGGGGTACCTGGCCAGGCAGGGTGGGGCCGAGGGGCTGCAGATGGGGTGGGGGGACCTGGCCAGGTGGGGCAGGGCTGAGGGGTTGCAGATGGGGTGGGAGGACCCGACCAGGTAGGGTGGGGCAGAGAGGCTGCAGTGGGGTGGAAGGACTTGGACAGGAGGGACAGGGCTGAGGGGCTGCAGACGGGGTGGGAGGACCTGGCCAGGTGGGGCAGGGCTGAGGGGCTGCAGTGGGGTGGGAGTACCTGGCCAGGTGGGGCGGGCCGAGGAGCTGCAGTGGGTCCCAGGAGGCTTAGGAGCATGTGCAGCTGGACACGATGAGCGAATCACAAATCTGTCCCATGTTTCCAGTCTGGCTTCTCCTGGGAGTCGCGCCTCAGAGGAAGGCGCGGTCTCACAAAGGGGATAGAGGATTCCCTTCAGGATCAGGTGCAGCATGTTTTAACTCCAGCTTTTGGAGCCATTTGTAAACAAAGTGAGTGCCTTCTCAAGCAATGGCACCTTGTTCCCAGCTTGTAAGCAACAGTGAAAACAAATGCAGTCGTATTAGCTCCAAACTGCTCGGAAGGCAAAAGCTGCCTTCTACGGGACTTTTCCCCTTACATTTACGTTAAAATACAGCGTACCTTAGATTCTTAAATGTAACTAATCTAAACAAAACTTAACTGATTAAAGATGGTGTGTTCATGCTGAATGAGATGAAAACTGCCACAAATTCTGAGAATTCATTGTTCTATCAAATTAGTAGCATTAACTGGTATCAAGAAGTCTAAGAAAACTGCACAATTATTTAAAACTAAAAGTACCGTAAACGTTTACAAGTGTAACAAAACAATTAAATATGCAATAAGAAATTAATTTAAAAAAACCCCCAAAAATGAAACAATAGATGCTTTACACTGCATTCTCGAATGCTTAAAAACTGGAGACGCTTAATGCCATTTGCATTTCCCCACAAACGCCCTTTAAGCATAAACAAGAATCCCTTTCATAGGTGAGGGCGCCGGCCGCGGCCCCGCTTACATAAGAGCCCCCGAGTGGCGTCCACCGCAGCGGCCGGCCGGGCCTGCCTCCTCCCGAGACCACACTCAGAGGCTGCGAAGCCTACATGGCGTGCCAAATGCCACACTGTACACAGTTTATTATTAATAATAAAACCTGACCACCCAAATCCACAAACTGAAAACCGCCGGGTGGCTGCTCGTGACGAGCCTGGAGGGACGCAGAGAACATTCCAGCGCTCCAGTTAAGAGGGCGATGCTTCGTAGGTACTGCAGAAATTGTTTTTGACTTGTAAACAGATCTAACACGTTTCTGGAGTTAAGTCTTTTCATATTTTGTGAGCCTTCAGATGTTCTTCTTAGTGGAAGATTCTGGTTAACTACGAGGACTAACTTAGACCAAGCTGCTTTTTTAGCAATCTGAAAAACTGGTGTCTGCTGGTTAGTTGGGGCATACATCAACCAGCTGATACTCACAATCGGAACTTCCATTCTTTGATAAACACCATTCTCCCACCTCCAGAGAAAAGTACGTAAGTAGGATGTGTGTTGAGGTACAAGAAAAGCACAGAAGAATGGAAACGGAGCAGGACCAGAGCTGGAGGCCACGTGTGATGCAGCCTCAGCACGCATCCTGTCCCGCAGCAGAGCCCCTAGCACAGGGCGCCCCTGAGGACCGGGTGCTGCTGTCCCCAGGGGCGACTGTCTCAAGTGGAAGGCAGCACCCAGTGGCAGGCCCCAGGTGGCAGGCCGTGGAGCCTCTATGCACTCAGATTCCTAACGGTTCTCAGCCCAGCTGCACGTTAGAATCACCCAGGGGGGTTAGAGATGAAAACAGTACTGCCCGCGCTCCACTCCACGTTGGTGTGTCAGGACACCTGGGGGTTTTCCTGGCTCTGCTCACGCATCACTTATGTGGGCAGCACCCTGAGCCAGCAGGGTCCCTGGACACAAGGGAGTCAACACACATAAGAGGTGGTGTGGAAAAGGAGTGTCCTCGGAGCCAGTGGGCTGGGCGGTGAGAGCGACGAGTGCCGAGGTGTCTGCCGTGTCAGCCACTGCAGAGGGCCCCAGCCTTTATTCAGAGACCAGGGGCATATGCAGCCAACCAGACTCCACAACGGGGCTTCGCCTGATGGCCTTCTGTCCCCCCTTCCGATCTCAACTGTGGGCAATCACTGAGCCTGGAGGTCATTGTCCTACCTAATCGGGGCGACAGAACAAGCTACACCACCCAGATTTAGTAATTCCTTGCAAATACTGGTACAAAAATTAGATCTCAGGTGGAGTAAAAACGTTCCTGATGTGCTTTCTACCTTAAAACTTTCAGTTAAAGTGAAAGCACATTTAAAGTATACTATTTTAAGAGTAAAATGCTACAGGAACTAACGACTGTAAAAGCTGTTAATGTATACATCAAAAGTCACTAAGGCCACAGCTAGAAGGACCCACAACGAAGAGTATACAACTATGTACTGGGGGGCTTTGGGGAGAAAAAGGAAAAAATAAAATCTTAAAAAAAAAAAGTTACTAAGAACTTACAAACATTTAAATAAAGAAATAAACTGAAAATGAAGAGAATCCATTAGCTACTTACTTTTAGGAAAAAATATTCTTTTTGAAAGGGAAATATTTATAAAAATGTACAAAATACTATAGGCATAATAAAACAGATTAGATTACATTCAAATTCTAATTTAGGAAGGACTGATAAATCAGGCTGCATTGGCACTGAGAAAGGCACCATTAGGAGAGTGAAAGGAGGAGAGCACGGTGGAAGGAGATATTTGCAACACGAAAAACTGACAAATGGCTTGATTCTAGCATATAAAAAGAACAACCCCAAATCAAGAAAAAGAGAGACAACTGATCAGAAAAATAGGCAAGAGATCTGAACAAGCACTCCACAAAAAGGGACCATCTGTTTGGCCAGTAAGCACAGGAAAAGGCACTAAGTCTCAGTGGTTGTCAGAAAATGCAGCAAAAGCCACGAGGGGGTACTGCTCACAGCTGAAGGTAAAGTGACCGACAGTGAAGAGTGGTGGCGGGGATCCAGAACAACTGGAACTCACACAAGGCTGGTGGCAGCGGAAATGGGTACCAGCACTTTGGCAACTGTTTGGCCTCACGTGTGACAGTTGACCACACGCACGCCCTAGGCTCCCCAGTGCCACTTCACATCTGCCTGTCCGCACCAACAGACACATGCGAGAACACACGGAGTGTCATTACCTGTAACAGGTCTGATTAGGCAACAGCCCGAATACGGATCAGCTACCGAATGGAGGAACATGGCGGCGTGTCTGTGAGTGGGACAGCACGCGGTTAGGAAAATGAATGAACTCCTGCTACACAACAGTGAGGACGGCTTTCACGGGCATAATGCTGAGGGAAAGAAGCAAAACACGAAACCTCCACATAATGATTCCACTGCCATAAGCTTCAAAAGCAGGCAAACTGCTCTTCGGTGTTGGTGTCGGGGGAGGAGCTACCTTTAGGGGGGCACGAGGGGCTCGGGGTGCTGCTGCTGGTGCTGTACTGGGTGGTGGGCACACGGGGACATGCACCTGCGGAAAGTTCCCCGACAGTCCCCATACGCTGCAGACCGGGTACTTTTCTGCATATGTATCTTATACCAATAAAAAAGATTTTTAAAACAACTTCAGAGACCAGGCTTGACAGGAAAGCTTTGAGAACACAACACCTTATGCTGTTGCGCATACGTAAATTAAAATGTAAACAAAAGCTTGTTAAAATGACTTGTGTAGACGGCTAACCATTTTCAGTAGCTGAAGATAAAGGATTTTTGCAGTTTATGTGTATTAGTGAGGAACCTTGGAAGAGTACATCGTCCTACCATCATTACCCCGATCCCGATCCAGGAGAGAATTGTCCATCTTGACTTATTTTCCGTATTACCAAGGATCACACATGCTCAGCACAGCACTGTGGTCCTGGGCAGAAACTAACAGAACCTGGGACGTGAGCGTGCGCACGCCCCACTGACCTGGTCCTGGGTCATCACTGACAACAAGAAGTTGTCAAAAGAAGGAAGCACAAATACAGATGAGGAAGGTGTTCCCTCGTGACAACCTGGGGAGGATGCGGCGCCCACTGGAGGACATGCCAGGCCATACAAAGACGGGTCATGTTGGAACTGTCCTCAGTGCGCGAGTCCAGGGCGCTCTGCCCGGCAGCGGGTGGTCAGAGAGGGCCGTGGCTTCTTCCCTGAGAAATACAGGATTCACCCTAATTTCCCAAAGAGGGAACAGCACACAAAATAGTCTCTTTGCCTCGCTAAGATGAAATCTGGGCACTTCTTGAAAGATAATGGACCACACTGGTCTTCAGATGGACATGCACAGCCACTACCAGACACCAGAAATCAGGGTCGAAAGAGCCAATGTGACAAGTAAGCTGAGGGAAGCCTGAAGCCTTGTCCCCTCAGCTGCGGGCCATCCTACAAGCTAACACCTGGTTTTCACGCAATCACAAGATGCCCTCAAAAGAAACAAATTTCAAAGACTTAGCACTGAGCTCCCAGGGGAAACTCACCAGGCATCTGGTACACTCCATGGTTTTCAATATCTTTTCAGTCCATTAGGAGTCTGCCAAATATTTTTTAAAATGCTTAAATCAAACCAAAAGTATGCTGAGTGCCCTGGCAGCCGCCACATGAAGATGAAGCCCTGGACTTCCCCATGTCTCTGAAGCTAAGGGTGACCTGAAACCCAGCCACGTGCAGGGACTCCGCAGGCTCCAGCCAGGGAGGCGGCCCCACCCCGCGCGGCTCCTGGGGCAGGGTGCAGGGGAGGCGGGAGCAGCGCGCCCTGGTGGTCGGCTCGGCACTTACTCTCTTTGCCTTTCTCCTTGTTCTTGAGCTGCTGCAGCTTCTGCTCGCGGTGCTGCTTCTCCAGCTCCTGCTCCTGGCGGTGTCTCTCCAGCTTCCGCTGATGCTCTAGCAGCTCCTGCTGGTGCTTCATGGCCAGCAGCTCCTGCTGTTGCTGCGAGCAAGGAAGGAGGAGACAAAGACAGTCAGAGCCTCGCTCCGAATCAGGAAGAACAAGACAGACACACAAACAAGAAGATCACTGAAGGGCCAGCTCGTCTGCACGCTGGTGCTGTCATCGGGGCCTTGCTCTCGTCTACACAGCCAGCATTTCTAACAAGACTACCTTGGCTCTGCTCAATCCTACGACAGAGGTCTAGTCCAGGCCCCAAATGTCTCCTGACCTTTTAAATGTTAAAAATGAAAATAAAAACCATGGATTTGCTAGAAGAAAATATACATGATGATTTACGTAGTCTTGCAAGTTGGGAACGTCCTTTTGAGAATGAGACAAAAGAGTATGAAATGGAAAACTGCTTGGCACATTCCTACCAAGTTAAACACGCGTCCACCCTAAGACCCAGCAATCCGGCTCCTACGACTTACCCAAGAGACACGGCGGCGCATCCGTGCAAAGCCGTGCATAAGAATGCACACGGCTGCCTTGCTCACGACAGCCCGGCTGACACGCCCCACATGTCCCTCAGAGATGAACACACGGACAAGGGTGTGTATTCAGATGCTAGAATACTACCTAGCAATGAAAGAGAACAAACCACAGAAACACGGACGGGCTGTAAACCAAGAAAAATCAGCACGCCTGGTGCGGACAGGGGGCACGAGAAAGGGCGAGGGAAAGGGTCAACATGCAAAGGTTCTACTCATAGCAAGTTCTAGAACAGGAGCTCCCACCACCTCATGATGCTAAAGCAGAAGGCCGCTTCCCGGGGCGAGGCAGAGACGAAGGAGAGGGGACTTCCTAGGCTGCGGACTGTGGTGGGGGCGGTGTTTCCACAGGTGCTCACACTGTCAAAACGCACTGGACAGTACACTCAGTCTGCATGATCTGAATGTTCTGCTGTTTGTAAGTCAGACTGCATGTTTTCAAAAATGACCTCATGGACCACATAAAGAATTATCTTTATCACATACTGTAAACAAAATTAAAAGGCAAAAGATGAAGAGAAAAACTCTCTGCAACATTTCTGATACGCAGATAAACGTGACACAATGGCTGTTGTAAATTAAGAAGACGGTAAGAACCCACAGAAAAGGTGAGCAAGCAGGATGAGACAGTTACAGAAGAAGTGGTCAAAAATGAACGGGAGGGGCTGGCCCCGTGGCTGAGGAGTTAAGTTCGTGCGCTCCGCTGTAGGCGGCCCAGTGTTTCGTTGGTTCGAATCCTGGGTGCAGACATGGCACTGCTCATCAAGCCACGCTGAGGCAGCGTCCCACATGCCACAACTAGCAGGACCCACAACAAAGAATATACAACTATGTACCGGGGGGCTTTGGGGAGAAAAAGGAAAAAAAAAAGTATACATAAAAAAAAATGAACGGGAAAAGATGTCAACCTCACCAGTAATCAAACCCCGTTTTCACCCCTCACAGTGGCCAAGATGGAAAGGAAGAAGCCCAGCGCAGCGCAGCGCTGGCCGGGGTGTATAGGACAGGGGTGGCGAAGGGGACTCCGAGGGGGCTCCCGCAGCCGCCAGCAGCTCTGGCGCGTGCAGCACCTCAGGACGCCCAGGCCCCACTGGCACCTGCCTCTGCCTCTCCGTCTCAGTTGGTCTCACTCTGTCTCTCTGCCTTTGTCTCTGTCTCCCTCTCTCTGTGTTTCCATCTCTCTTTATCTCTCTCTTTATCTCTGTCTCTCTTTATCTCTCTCTGTCTCTCTCTGTCTCTGTGTCTCTCTCTCCCTTTATCTCCCTGTCTCTCCCTGTCTCTGTCTCTCTCTCTCCGTGGCTCCGCCTACACAGACTTTCCCTTGGCTTCCACACAAGCCACTTGCCATCTCCTGCAGACCTGAGGGCCTCTGCATGAGCAGCCCCAGGGCCAGCCCTCGGAGACGGCCAGCCTGGCTCCTGCGCCCCCTCCAGCTTCCCCAGCGTGTCACCTCCCTCCCCAGTAACCTCCCCAAGCAGGGCCCTGAGCCCCCCATCCAGCACGTTCCATGTGAGCACCTAGTCTCCCTGCCATTACTTGATTCTGGTGGTCTCTCCCCCACTAGGCGGGGGTGGAACGAGGACGCTGGGTGAGCCAGCAATCTGGCAACCAAGGAAGCCCCAGAACTTTCTACTGAGGACACGTAACGTGCAAGTGTCTCTCCCCCAGATGTAAGCTGTCAAATGTCGGGGGAGTGGGACAGACTGAAACCTCCTTTCAGGCATTCACAGAGGGACTGTGGCGCCAACAAAAGCAATGTTGACACAGTTGTTGGTAACTGACGTTTCTCGAGGGCTCTTCCCAGGTGACACTGACAGCTGACAAGTGGCTGCAACCCTCCTCTGAGGTGAGCGTCTCAGAAGGGATGCTGAGCCACAGGGTGACCAGTGGTCGGGGCCTCTGTGCAGATGGCAGTTTTGCCCCCAGCGCGTGGCTCTGGGGATGAAGAAGACAGAGGAGGGAGACAGTGGGTGAGCATGAGCGCGGCTGGCTTGCTCCCTCTGGAGGGCGCCCGGTGCAGACACGGCGCAGCCCCCAGGGCAGGCCCACACACCTGGGGCCCATCCAGGGGCTTCACTCAGCTCTCTGCTGTCTCCAGTTGTGCTATGATGACACGCTGTACTCTCAGAGCAACACGCTTAACAAGACAAAAGGAAGTGGTTTAGGGGCAGAGGAGCAGATTTAGAGGATCAGGGCACAGCCAGGGGACAACCAGGACAGAGTGAGGCACACAGGGCGATGTGCTGGGGGTGGAGGGAGGCTTTCCTGCCCACTGTGCCCAAGAAGACACACTTCGACACGGAGACACGTGAGCCACCTCTGTGTGTGTGCGATGCAGCTGCCCTCCTCTGTGGGCGCATGCCCTCACGGTGACGTCCGGCCAGCCCTGGGGAGCAGGCACTGTGTGTCCAGGAACATGTGCAAACTCCTGCTGGCCCCTTATTCAGAGGCAGAGCCTGGGCTGACCAGCCGGCTCAGTGCCCCTACGCACGCTGCACCCCCATGCCAACCCCGGTGGTCACTGCTGGGAGCCACCTCCCTCGAGGGGAGGAAGGGTCCAGGCTGCAGAGAAGGCCTGGGCTGAGCCTCTTCCGGCCACAGGCCCCCTGGGAGATGTGGAGGCTCCCACGCCCAGGGGCCTCACCTGGCTCCCAGCCCCAGTTCCCACGGTGGCCTTTTGTCAATGTGAGTGTGGAATCACTCAGTTTTTTGCATCAACTAGAGCAACACGTAAATGAAGAGAATAGGATTTCAGATTGCTTAGAGCTCCTTCCTGTTAAAGATGCAATATGTCACCCCATGTCTGTGACTTCTGTGAAGTTCAAATCACATTCTACCAAAAACGTTACAGAAAAAGAACATCAATTGTGAAAATTTATAAGGTGAAAATTCTCACTCTTTCATTCTCTAAATAAAGCTGACAACCCCGGCGTGGGCGCAAGTGTGCTAGCCAGTAAAAACAGCATTCAGCAAAATTTCAGAAGAAACTGGCAATAACAATGAATGAGCAAAAAGAACAGAACCGCCAACTTATAAACGCCCGTGTGTGTGGAGGGGGTGCCGGGTGCCCAGCCACCCACCCAACCCGAGGGCAGAGTGACGGGCCAGACAGGCCCTGCCACACCGTCACACACAGTGCTGCTGGAGGCCCAGTGCCCAGCCACCCACCCGACCCGAGGGCAGAGTGACGGGCCAGACAGGCCCTGCCACACCGTCACACACAGTGCTGCTGGAGACCCAGTGCCCAGCCACCCACCCGACCCGAGGGCAGAGTGACGGGCCAGACAGGCCCTGCCACACCGTCACACACAGTGCTGCTGGAGACCCAGTGCCCAGCCACCCACCCGACCCGAGGGCAGAGTGACGGGCCAGACAGGCCCTGCCACACCGTCACACACAGTGCTGCTGGAGACCCAGTGCCCAGCCACCCACCCGACCCGAGGGCAGAGTGACGGGCCAGACAGGCCCTGCCCCACCGTCACACACAGTGCTGCTGGAGACCCAGTGCCCAGCCACCCACCCAACCCGAGGGCAGAGTGACGGGCCAGACAGGCCCTGCCCCACCGTCACACACAGTGCTGCTGGAGACCCAGTGCCCAGCCACCCACCCGACCCGAGGGCAGAGTGACGGGCCAGACAGGCCCTGCCACACCGTCACACACAGTGCTGCTGGAGACCCAGTGCCCAGCCACCCACCCGACCCGAGGGCAGAGTGACGGGCCAGACAGGCCCTGCCACACCGTCACACACAGTGCTGCTGGAGACCCAGTGCCCAGCCACCCACCCGACCCGAGGGCAGAGTGACGGGCCAGACAGGCCCTGCCACACCGTCACACACAGTGCTGCTGGAGACCCAGTGCCCAGCCACCCACCCGACCCGAGGGCAGAGTGACGGGCCAGACAGGCCCTGCCACACCGTCACACACAGTGCTGCTGGAGACCCAGTGCCCAGCCACCCACCCGACCCGAGGGCAGAGTGACGGGCCAGACAGGCCCTGCCACACCGTCACACACAGTGCTGCTGGAGACCCAGTGCCCAGCCTCAAGACAGAGACCACACCGCGGCCCTCGCCGGCCCACCTGGGCTGTGCCTCCGCAGCCAGCACGGCCAGCCTCCCAGCTTCCTGGCCCTGCTGCTGTGGAAGTGGCCCGATGGCAGAGTCCCCGCAGGACACAGGGCCAGGGCAGGACTTGTCAGCAGGGCCTCGAGCTCTCCCCGGGCCGGTCTGGTCACACCTGTGGTCACACACGCAGCAAGGGTTTACCGAGTGCAGACTAAGTGGTCAGCATTACTGACCACAGGGGACCCGCAGCCCCTGTCCACAATCTTGGTCATCTCACACCTTCCACAGAGGGGAGGGGATTCATTTCCGGCTAGGAACACAGGGACACAATAGCAGAGAGGGGGGCGTAGCTAGATCCAAAAGCCACACAGGCAGCAGGAGGCAGAGAGGCCACAGGCCCCAAAGGTGCCCAGGACAGGGGACAGACAGCCAGTGTCCAGCCCTC